GTGCGGTTCTCGCTGTTGCACGCGAACTTATTAACTAATGCAAATACAGTTGTTGTCGAAAATTCACCGTGGCACGTATAATGCACCGCTAAGCGGGTTTGTACGCGCGAATTTATGCAAAGCGTATATCGCATACGTTTATACCGTCGCAAATGGAGATTTAAAGAGACACGCACGTCGCGACGTGAGTGTCTTTATGTGGCCGAAAAATTCCAGAGGAGGATCGCACGATTCCGGATACGCTTTTCGATAATGAGCGTAAAGTGGATTTTTTTTTCGGCGACACGCGCATCGTTTGAAATCCTAAAAGCGATCGTTTGAAATTCGCACAAATTGCGAAGCGTATCTCAAATTTTGTCGCACATTCACGGTGACGTTTTTTTTTTTTTTTGTCGAGATCGACTGTGTGACTCTCTTTCGCCCCCCGCCCGATCGTGACTGAAAATTCTTATCGCGGCCTGAGACGGGCTGAAAGTTCTGCTTCCGTAAAAGGCGGAGAGGCCTCCTTCCGTGTGTTTCCATGGAAACCGTCTTTCTATCTCCCCTAACCTTCTGTTTCTCCTTCCTTTCCTTTCTATTTCTCCCTTTCTCCCATTCTCTTTCTGCTTCCATCAGGAGCGGATCTATAATGAGTCGAGCTCCAGTCGAGCAAATTTCTTCAATCATATCTGTCGATCGTTCAGTTTATATATACACATTGTTCCAGATTTCCGAAGAAACGGCTAAAGAAATGCGACAATCGACAATCTGTTCTTCAAGTTTCAATTTACATATTACATCCGTATAAATTTGTAGCTAAAGTTTATTTACGATTTATTAACTTTTTCGCAGATTTATTTGGATATTGATACATATTTTTATTACGTATCTGTTATACAAGTATTTTCACTTTCTAAAATTTGGCGTCGGAATCCTCAAAAAGCGTCAGCTGCATAAAATTATTGTCTTTCTCCGACAATCAAACAGATTAAGCATAAAGCTTCAACAATTGAAAGATTTTGGAATTTATATGAAATAATTAAATAAGTAATATATTTCTCGAAAAATGTTCTCCTTTTAATGCCATGAAAACAGCTTTCACACAATTGCAGTGAAATTATTTAAACCACATATTACAGAATCCCAAGTATTCCTCCATTTAGAATCTCTGGAATTCAAAATCCGTCACTGTCTCACTTTCCCTCTTTCTCTTTCTCTTTCTCTCTCTCTCTTACTTTCTCTCGTACACCCTCGTAGCGTAATACGCCTTTCACAGTTAGCGCCGCGACGCCGGTATCGACCGACGTGTCACCCCGCTCGCCCCTCTGTATTCCATCGCCGTCTCTCGCTTTTGGTGCCGGTGCACCCCCTCACGCTGCACAAGCGCTCTCAACCTTCCAGCAACACCCCCTCCCCCCCCCCGTTCCGGTGCTCTTACACCCCTCGCTACTACGCGCCACTACGATAGTACTATTCGATTCATAATAACAAAGAACACGCGATAGCGCGCTCGCGTGCAGCTTTAATTCACGAAGCAGACCGGCGTTCGACGCCGTTCACCGCGCTTTTACCGACGACACTTCGTCGTCCTGTTCTACATTCCGCATAGGGGGAATTTTTACTAACCCACTATCGACTATCAGTCACGCATACGTCTCGGAGGTGACAATTCCGCGCGCGACATAAAATACATCGCAATCTTGCGTCACTTTTTTTTTTCGCAGAAGCATCATTTTATTCAATTTTTTATATTTGAAGAAAAATTATGTCATTTATTTCCACGATCGATAATCAATTTTTAAGACCAGTTCGTGCAAGATGTCTGCTCCGTAAACGTCAGGGCTAGCTCTATTCTTTCGAATTCGCACGTCGTTGGAAAAATATCTTGTCTCCTTCACGAATTCCTTTCCCAAGCGTTTTACAAATGACGGTGGACATGTAAAAACAGCTCGTCGCACGTCCACGACGATATTCTCAATCAACTGCGTATGTAAAAGGATAAAGCTGATCGCGCGATTAAGCTTCCACCGTTATCCGTCGATTTATCCAGTTCGAATAACCGATCCCGCCGCGCTATCCCCGCTCGAAAGCGCCCGCAAGTCCTCCGTGGAAGGTAATCTCAACTTTGTCGCATAAGAGGCGAGCTATAATCAAGGGGAGAGTTATGGCATAATTAGCACATTTCCCGGTTCCGAGTAACGGCCGTCTTCTTGCGACGAGTGTGCACTCGCAAGAGGGAACTCGTGTTCGCAGAGCGGGCAATTACCACGGAGAGGCTGTTCTTCCGTAGGTGGAGGCTTCTCCATTGGATTATCTATATTCCCGCGCGCTCAGTGAAATATTCAAGCATCGAAGCTCGAAACTTCACTTCCCCGATCGTATTTCACGTGGAAGCTCTTCACGTCAAGATTTTTCCCCGGCGCAAAATATTTCCGGGCGGTTCGTAGGTTTTTTTTTTCTAAATCATCGGCTCTAAACGTCAAACGTTAAAATTATGAGAAGGCGAAGGCACAAATAATCTTTTGCGAAGCTTCGCGAACAAAAGTGCGGAGCGATCTTTTTTTTTTTCTCGCCCAACCAAGAGAAGGAAAATAAATAACGGTATTTCCTGCGCTAAGCATGTGATGCCATTTTTTTTTTTTGCGAATTAACCAACGAATCTCGCGTCATTCGCATTTGTGTATACGCGAGCTCGGTTTTTGCGGCCGGATATTCCGACGGCATTGAAACGGATCACCTCGGGCTTCCTGCAAGCGCGTTCGATCGGGGCGCGTTAAACGGGGTCGAAGTGATTTGTCGGGGGGGGGGGGTTGGTCGTGGGTGCGGCGTCTGTGTTATTCGGCGGGTGCCCACACGACGATAAGAATTGGCCCAGATTCGCGTGGTATCTCGCGACGATTTCCCGGCGCATTAAGGCTCCTGCATGCGCGGCCCGTCCTCTCCTCCTCGAATACGAGACAAGTTTTGTCGTTCGAAAACTTTCAGCCGTAAAGTACGCAACAGCCTCCCCCCCCCCCCTCCGGGTCGTTCCACTTCGCGAGACCGGCCATCGACGGAAAATTGTAGATTGCTGTTAGTCTCGCGCGAGCGTCGGGTCGAATGCTCGGCTTTATGCACAGGGCGTGTCCGACGTTCCTTCCGCTTCTCTAGCGTGCCGTAATCTCTAATTTATCTCTATACATTACACATGTTTCGCGAATCCGCTATTTTAAGAGCGTGACGGATTATTTTCTGAAATGTTATTGCAACCGTGCGGAGGAAATGCGGTAATTTTTGAACGGAAGATCGATCAAAAACGCTTACATCGAATGCGCGTGTATTCTCTTTCGTTCGCGATGGGATAAAATATTAAACGTCGTCCGTCAAATGGAAAATTATTCTTCCGACTTTTTCGAATCTCTATATCAATATTTGTAAGTCGGATTTAAAACTGGAGACAATTTTACGATATTGCGAGCTGCATTTTCCTAAATTACTAGAAATCAGCAAGGTATTGATCGAGTGTTCGGAAATAAGGAGTTTTAGATGCCGATGATCATTAACGATTGTCTCTTCATGCGATATATGTTTACTAATCTACTTTTTCCGAGCGATGGAGCCCTCCGGTATTGCGAACTTGTAATCTGCGAGAGAGAAAGTTTCTCAACTGCTATCGTATATCGAGAAAAAGGGACGAACAAAAACATGATGCGCCTGAGCGTAACGCAAGGGTTGCAGCGCTATTATTGCAAAGCAGCGGCCGATGAGCTCCCGAGATTACGCTCTCCTGGGAGATACTTTCCCTCTCCCGTTTCTCCCGTATTTACTCGCGCCGCCATCGACTTCCACGCTCGCGTTTTATCAACGAAATTACATTTTCCTGGCGGTTCAACGCTCGAAATGTGCAAGCTCGCGTTGCTATTAAGTCTAGACAGAAGTTATGTATACAATTTGCGATATGAGTTTATTAAAACATATTACTTCAGCGCGGTCGTTAGCCGGTCATTTCAGCTAATTGAGCTTCGGGAATGCGAATAGATATTGGAATTTTATTGCTCCGGCGATTTGCATTTTAATAATATTGATAAAAAAAATTTTAATCTTCAAAAAAAAGTTCCGAAGAATAAAGACGGCGTTTCGAGTGTAAAGAAATGATTGTTACATTAATTTACGAAAAGTATCACATCGTTCGTAGAATGCATTTGTCGTCGGACATTGTGTATTATATTTTTTTGCGAAATAAATCACGAAAGTAATTTATGGCGTACTTCCCGGAAAGAATGGCGCTTTGATGACATTGCCGATAGGGAATTGAAATTCCCTTTCTTTTTTTTTTACCTCGTCTCGTCGTTCTCTTCGTAGGAAACTCAATTAGCGATCTCGTAGAATTAATCCCCGACTGCGGCGAACTGCATTCAAACGAGATCCTCGAGGTTACATCACGCACCAGCAGAAAGAGTAACAGAGCTGATTGGCGTTCGCGCAAAATAACTTCGTTACAAGTTCCGTCACGATCGCGGCTCACGTGGATTTAGCTCCTGCGGCGTCTATCGAATCAGTTCTTGTTATTTTTTCCCCCCTTTTTTTTTGCATTTGATTGTCGAAAAGACAGAAAAAACATCGACGTTTCCGCGAGATATGTTCGTCGGCGGATATAAAATCGTGACGAATTTGTGCAGAAGCGGATGCGTAATTAAGTTAATAACAAATTCATTAATTTTTAATCTCGTGAAAATAATAATTGTATTTTTCCCACCAATTGTTTTATTCTAGAATTCTAACGCCATTTTTATTACTTTATAATCTAGCTTATCTTGCTGTTCACTTCGAAATAATTTAACGAGTACGATAATTTGGATTCCCATAGTTGAATTACTTCCGTTAAGCGAACTTGCCGTCAAGGGTCTAATATTACATTGAAAGCGCGGATCATTAGAAAAACGCCGAGCGCGCGCAAGGACGCAGGTGGCTGAAACGCCGAGCGTATATCTCGATAATTAGTCCGGATATAATTAATCGATTTGTTGCTTTCTATTATGCAGGTTGTGACGCCGCAGAAGTGCGGGGACGTCTACCTGTACGACCTCCCAGCTAGCCGGGGAAGCCCCGCGCCGCCCTCCAGACACGAATCACCCCTCAACTCGACGAACAATGAGCACTCGCACAATACGGGTATGTATTATTCGCAAATCAAACCCATCTGTAGCAGAACGATCATTGCGATAAAGCAGCGTCTGCAAAAGTTTATTCATTAATCGAAATACTGAATAACTTCGTCTGGGAATAAATAGTTTTCGCATCACAGCGCCTTATCGCGCTAAATTGAATTAAATTTCATATCTGCTTGTGGAGGATATTTTTCTACAGAAGATATATTGTTAAAAAAATGTATCGAAAGTTTCTTCGAATTTTTCCATAGAAATAGAAGACAAAAATCTGAAGGAACCTTTTAATCATCTCAATCGAATTTTAAGCCAAAAGCGTACCGTTTATCATATTGCTCGTAGAAGATATTTCACTCAACTAGCTGAGATACCGGCAATTTCACGTGGATGAAATCATTTATGTATTTCTAATTCATGTACCGCAAACCAAGCATTCTAGTTCGACTAAACAAACATAACTTTATTATTCATCGCACAAAGGCCTCCCTTGAAGCCACTCTTAGAAAGCCCACGAGACAAACCATTAAACATGCCCGAGTAAGTTCACCAACTCAGCTTAGAGGAAACACTCATGAGACCTAATCTGGATTTCTTCACTCTTTGCCAAACGAGCGCGCGCTCTCTCTCTCTGCCTGCGCAGGACGCTACACCAGCAACAGCGTGCGGAGCTCCGTCGACAACGGGGGCGGCGACACGAACGAGTGCTACGACGTGCCGCCGCGCGCGATCCCCGTCATCTCGTCGCCGGCGAGCAGCCCGAGCCCGGCCCCGTCGTGCTACGATATCCCGAGGCCGCCGACGTCCTGCACGCCTAATTCCAATTGCTCCGCCGGATCCGGCATCACGCCGCTGGATTGCTACGACGTGCCGCGGCCCCTGCAGCCCCTAACTCCCAGCAGCTCGGCCTCCAGCCTCACCAACGACGGATCCCTCAGCGGGTCGAACAGGTACGCGTGTAATATACATGTATGTCCGTCTCCTCGCATTTCCGCGATGCGTTGCATTATTCGGATGGATTCCCCCCTCCCCTCCCGAGCGGGGCAACACAGCGGGCATTACGGATACAGTAGTCGCTCCTGTGGAATCGGAGCTTCGCGAATCGCAAACTTTTACACGTCCAGGAATGCGCAAGTTTTCGCTGAATATACGCTTCGAGAAGCCGAAAGTTGCGGAGAATCCTGCGGGGGATGATTTTCAAGTCCGTTGTGAGGATGCAAAAGTGCGCGATTTCCGAGGATCCGAGAGACTCCGAAGACCGTCGGTTTTCGCCCAGTTGGAATTCTTCCAAGCGTTACTAATAATAAATCTGAGAGGTTTCTTCGCATCGAAATTTTCGCCACGCCGTGTTAGCTGACGTTTCCGAATCTTGCAGATCGAGTTTGGCCGCCCCGGATTACGATGTGCCCCGGCCGCGTCTTCCGGTCTCCTCCTCGTTGCCGTCCCGACACAACACCCCCGTGCCGAAGACCCCGACGCCACCGCCACCCACGCAGCAGATCTACGACGTGCCAGTCAGCAAGGAGCTTCCGCTGGAGCTGGACTCCGCCCTGGAAGGCCTGCAGAGGCTGCAGAGCGAGGCGTCCGCCGCGATAGCGAGATTGCTCGGCTTCGTGAGTCCCGGCTGGCGAACGCCGCAGCGACTGGACGCCACCCTCATGGATCTCAGACTAGCCGCTCTCAGGCTCAGAACATCCTTGCACGATCTGGCCGAATTCGCAGAAGGTTCGAAGATTGACTCTCGATTCTTTTTTGTTCGCGGAAATTATTGCGATTGATTTCACAAGTGTGATAAATCTATTATATTGTAATTTTTCTCTATTTTTATAGTTTCTACACGG